TTATATATACTTACTATTTTTTGTAACTATAGCATATTAAAGCATTTATAAATACTTACTATTTTTTGTTCTAAGCGTGCATATCCCAAACGCCCTTTTTTGTATGGATACGCGGGTTTTAATACCGGTTGCCGATTTACGTCACTCACAACCTGAAAAACAAGTTTAAGTCATATCAAAACTCTTGTGGAAGAAGTATATATACTATACATTGTTCATGATAAGTTGTACTTACGCAAAATTCTTTGGTTCTTCGCTTGGCAACAAATGTCTCCCATTCTTCATCCGAAACCAAATCAGCGTACTTCTTTGAGCGCTCCGAGTCGACAAAGTTTCTATCAGAATCTTTAAGAAACTTGTTCGTTAAAAACACTCTAAATCCCCTCAGTCGTTTTCCGGCCAATTGAAGACAATATTTTCTTCTGCAATCATCAATATTAAAAGATCTCTGCAAACAAATACACATACATATAACATGTTAGTATAATTAATTTAAAGATGTAACCGTCAACATAATTAAAAATAATAAAATATCATACCTGTATCTCGCTCCAAATTTTGTCTTTGGCCGGTTGTAGCGAAGGAATTCTCCAATTATCGCAAGTAATCGGAATTTGCGAACGTACAAGTGCTCCAATGTAACTTGTCAACATCGCACCGTTAGGCTCAACTAATTGATCTCTTTCATTCCAATGCACATCATACTTTACACCCTTATCTCTCACACGAATGATTTTTTTCATAATCGTTATTCCTCTTTTGATATCGCCTTCCATGTCTTTTGTTGTTTCGTTTCCATCATGTGATGTTTCCTCATTGGTGGCCATAATACCTGTAATTCAAAAGAACCAAAGTATCAAATGAATGACATGCAAATATGTAAATAAGAAATATATACATAAGAAATGTATAAATAAGAAAAACATATACATAATTTTATTGAATGACATAATATGGTGTTTTAATATCTTCTTTTTTGGTATGATGTGCTAGCCAATAACTCTCTTTGTGACTATCCACCCTCAACCTTGCCAAGCATATACACCAAAACAAAAATACAAATCATGTTCAATTCATCTCTCAAGCCATCAACATATAAAACCATAATAACATATCATATTCACCAAAAACTAAACATTGAGAAATCCTAACTAAACATATAAAAAGCTAACAAGCATATACACCAAAACAAAAATACAAATCATGTTCACTTCATCTCTCAAGATTTAAATATACACACTGCAAAACAGAGATTTAATATCAACAACATATACACCGAAAACACGAAATCGCAGAGATTTACATGGTGATGGTTTGATGACTGTTGAAATGAAGGTTTTAGGAATGGTTATGGAGAATGATTTCAAGAAGATGTATTCGAAATTTCATTATAAAATTCTATAATTGTTCGAATATGATATCAGTTCAAATATTATCAGTATAAAAACAGAATGTGAGATAGTTATGGAATGGTTATGGAGAATGTTAAAAACAAAAAATATGATATCAATTCAAATATTATCAGTTCAACTACAACATATTTACATTTGAGGTCAACCTAAAGCAACTAAAAGTTTCAAACTCCAATAATGCATTCAACTATGAGAACAATAAAAATGGAAAATGAAAAACTTCAAATACCTTAAAATGGTGGAAATGCGCTGGTGGAGGACGGAGATGACCGTAAAAAATGGACGGACGACGGCGGAATGACCGGAGGAAAGGCGACGGACGGAATGCGTCGACGGTGAATAGAGCAACGTTCGCGAGTGGAAAGAAGAAAGAAGGAGACTGTTCTGATTCTGCGAAAATACTGGGATATTTTAAATTTATGCTACTTAAACCTATAGCAGCGCTTTTGCATGACATTTATCAGCGCTTTTAGAAAGCGCTGTTATAGGTCTGCCTTAGGACCCCCCTTTAGCAGCGCTTTTAGAAAGCGCTTTCTTAGACCCCCCCTTTAACAGCGCTTTTTTTGAAGCGCTTTCTTAAGCCCCCCTTTAGCAGCGCTTTTTTCAAGCGCTTTCTTAGACCCCCCCTTTAGCAGCACTTTTTTAAAGCGCTTTCTTAGACCTCCCTTTTAGCAGCGCTTTTTTAACAAGCGTTGTCTTAGGTATGCTATTTTTTTCTTTTTTTTTCATGACTCTTTAGCAGCGTTTTTTCAGAAAGCGCTGTCTTTTAATGCGCTGCTAAAATTCATTTCTGGCGTAGTGAAATTTTATTGGCGATCTATTCAACCTCACTTCTAGATCATTGTCCTCGTCTAACAGAGGAAACCTCCTTAACCTCACTAATGTTCATCTATGGGTTTCTCATCCCCAGCGGGCTCCCGAACTTCAACAATTCTCACTCCTAGGTGTCTTACTTCTATAGACGACACCTCTAGGTTCTATGGATTTATTACTTCGGTTTGAGATGAAGCATTTATGATTACACCACCATTAATTAAATTTATGAATGGAATATTTTGATTTCCTACACTAGCCATGACTAAAGTGAATGCAAACAAGTGAAATGAAAAAGGGACATATGGGTACCTTGAATATTTTGCAGGATATGAAGGCTAGAGAACATAGCAAAAAGAAGCAAATCGCTAGAAACCTAGAAAGTAGCAGACTTTAAAAGATGAAAATCAAGTAAATGGATATGAAAAATGTAAAACACGAAGAAGTTCATAATACTTGGAAGCAAGGAAAGACGAAAAAGAAAAACCAACTTCATTCTTCTAATTATATGTAATAAGACCGATGAGGTCAACGAGTGAGAGTCAGAGAAGCACCAAAGGTCAGGATATTAACAGTCAAGATGAGACCATGATCTCACAACGACACTTCGATCACTCAAATACCTTAAGTGTGTCGCCTCCCTACCCTAGGCGCGTGAATCCACTTGGAAGCCTCCTCTGAATCAACATTTCAGGACGTGATAGACATTTAATACGCGTGTTCCAAATGCCACCAACATCCATTTAGCTTCTCAACAATAATTTTCCTCTCCTTTAAGCATTCTTCAAACAAAATCTCATTCTTTCTACATAACTCACATAAGGTCCGATTTTAAATTTTCACATCAACAATCCTTGCTCCATTACTAATATGAAGGACTTGAGGGCCGATTGTTCTGGACTAACTAATGGCTCAATAAGATCGTGCCAATACATAGGTCTAATCCAATCACAATCATCCATTTAACTAGTGAACAAGTAGATGCTCACATCGAAGCACGACCCTAAAACAATACACCACATTATTCTCGAGCATTGATATTCATCCAATAGTCTCTCCCATCTCGAGTCAGACCAACTGGTACGATTCTTCTTGTCACTTTTATATAAGCGTGAATTTGAATCACACTAAAATATTATTCATTTACACACTTACAAATTTCACCTCTCGTATTTACAAACTTTGTTTAAAGTGTTAATCTTGCATATACATTTCTTTTGTAATCATTAAGATCTCTACCATGGTACCATAAGACCTTTTATGACAGTCTACTTCAACCTACTATCATCTCCATTGCAATACAGAATATATAGCAAGAGTTAAGCTAATCCATTTATAAAATATAAAATGAAAATAATATGATATGTTGAGTTCATAGGTTCAAATTTGCCAACCGAACAAACATCATGGAGTTTGAATGGACTGGTTTAGATTAGACTCAAACAATATTGAGTTGGATCAAAATACAAGTTATGTCAATTTGGGTGACCGCTTACATAGGTTGACAGAAACCATAACACTCATATCCACATTTGTGTAAAAGCAGCCTAAAATTACTCTTCATTTATCATATTTAATATTTTTTTTTTATTTGTCCTTTACTCTAACTAATTGATAATCATTTCAAATAACGAATTTAAACACATGATCAAGAAGTAAAGTCGATTATTTAATCAAAGCAGATAAAGATTACTAGATAAGGAAAGAATAAGAAACAAAACAAGGTTTCTTTATAATAAACTCAAGGTGTAAAAAAACTTTACAGACAATATATTTAAACTGAAAAATTCACTTCCTTTAATTTCAGTTCTTTACATACAGAAACTTTAATAACAACTGTCGAATAAAATAAAAGAGATCTTCAGCTTTAAGTAACCTTTGAATATTCAACAATATTATGAGAATATTTCAAAACCTAAACCTATTAATATTTGTGTTGTTGAGTAGAAATCACTCTTTGAGTCTTCACTATGTGTGTTTGTTTTGTTTATATATACGGCACACATGCCAATAAGCATGCATAAATGTAATTATGTTTATATACAGAGAAGGAAAAGAGGCACAGAAAGACAGAAAAGAAATCCATATAAATTCATCATTATTCAATTAATATTTATATAGTTTCTCACGTCAGAGTTGAATTTATTCCCACAAAGTGACTCCGCCAAACAAACTTTCCTGCCAACATTCAAACTGCATACACATTATTCTATATTCTTATAATTATACATTTTTTATATTTATATATCTATGCCTTTATACGTAACCAAACCCAAATGTTATGATTATTCTTTATAACCTTTAGTCAACAATATCCTAACAAACCTTTTCCTTCACACATGTTCAATCTCCCCTGTACAAAACAACTTTACTATACAGTAATACCTATTTATACGCTATCCGATCATCTGATTTATCGAATAACTGATATATCTTATGTACATCAATTATTTAATAAATCTGAATAATTATAAAAATATATTTTTATTTATTTATTTTTTAACTATAATACAAATATTAATCGAATGTTAAACACTTCTCTAATTAATATTTCATATACATACATAAATTTGATCTCTGCGAGTCTTAACACAACAATAAAATTACTGTTTTTTGACTTGCGGAGATCAAATGATCAAATCCTGAAAATAATTTTACCGTTTTTGGATGATAAGATTGCGGAGCAATACATCAATCATTTTTAGAATCCACTAATGAAAACTTCATACAAATACATAAAAATATAAGTATAATAAATTTAACCTAATTAAATAATTACTCACTAATTACCTCATGATGGTTAAAGCTTGATGAGCCATCACAAGCATGGACATGTGAATGTGAATGTGAATGTGGATGAGGATGTGGATGTGAATGTTCTCCGGCGTTAAACTGAATTCCGGCTGGCAAGTCGATCGATGCAGCCGCTGTGGAAGCGAGTAGTAGATTTGGTGCAAAAGGCCAGACGATGTCACAAGAAGGAGATAACAACAAAGCATTAGGAGGAGGAGGAGTAGAATTAATGCATTGTGATGAAAGTGGTAATTGATATTGTTGATTTTGAGGAGTAGATTGAAGCAACCTAATTTGTTTCTTCAAGAACTTAACATAACGAATGGCTTCATCAAGCATAGAAGCTGTATCCATTTTAGTTCCACCAGGAACAAGTCTTTGAAGGATACGAATCTTCTCACTGATTCTTTCTCTTCTATGTCTAGCTGCGACACTCTGTGGATCGTCGCTGATTCGAACGTTTCTTCGCTTTGGTTTACGAATTGTTGCCGGATCGATTTCCACCGGTTGCATAGCAGCAATCTTGTACATCATTTCCTTCATAGCTCCTAACTCTTCTTCTTGTTCTTCAACCTCTTCGATTTGGTGGATCCCTAATATGTCACTGAGTGAACCTGATGAAGATGGTGGCGGTGGCGGTGCTGCTGCTGGCATCATCATGTTGTTATAGCTATTTGTTGGCCAAATTCCAGAAGAATTACTCATAGGAATTTGATGATGATCTTGTTGGAGAATAATACGGTTTTGTTCATTTGTTTCCATTTTCTCAAGATTCCAAGTGCTTGTGAATGCACTACTAGAATTATTTAGGTTATTTTCCATGAACATAAACAATTATTTATACATATGAAAAAATAATATGAAGTGCTAGATTCTAATTTTGATGGATCTAGCTAGCTAGATGGTGATGTGTGTCTTTATTGATTTGATACTTTAATTAGCTAAAAGAGAAGAGGAAAAATAAAAAATGATAAAAGGGTTTACAAGATTTGATAATAAAAAATTAACCAGATTCAAAGAAACAAAACGAGTACAAGAGATATTCAAACTCAAACAATTAAATAAAATCAAGAAAAAAGAAAATAATTATTTTGATATGTTCAAACAAAAACAAAATTTTTATTAAAACGAGTATAAGAGATACTCGATCTCAAACACAAGAGAAACACTAGATATAAATGATTAAATTAAATGAACTCATAGATAGATATATATAGTGGCTAAGTGGAGAAGAAGGGAAGAGAGAATGATTGTGATGGTGTAGAAAATAAAAAATAGGTTAAATAATATTACTTACCTAAGAGTTAATATATTTTTTAATAGTTGAATGAATGATGAAGAAAGGGTTTGATGGTTGAAAAGGTTGGTAGAGTTTATAGAGAGGGGCCAAAAGAAAGAAAAGGGAAAGTTATTTATGTAATTAGGAAGAGGTTTTTACTGAAAGGGGAGTCACTGCAAAAAGCATGTAGACGAATGAATGAAAAGAAAAGGTAGTGCATGGTGCAGTGCAGCAAATTAAAGAGATTGAATTGAATGAATTAATGTGGTTCTACAAAGTCATGAGATTCATCCATATACCTACCTATAGATAGCCCTTCCTATCCCAACTTTCAACATAGAACTATAGTTCAACTCATAGTTATAACTTATAATTTTATTGTAATTTTATACAATATTATGTATTTTGGTTGGCTAATTCATTTTTGACCTAATATTATCTAAATAAAAATAGGTCTTTTAGAAGATTCAAACAGTCTTTTGTGACTATTGAATGGATATAGATAAAAATTGAACTTTCATAAAATAATATTATCATATGCAAAAGAGTTTAAAGAGAATTTATTTATAGAGATATTTTTTTTTCATAAGAACAATATATTAGTGTGAAGTATTAGGGATACAACACTATAATAAATTCTATAATAAATCGTAACATATTTTGTGACAAAAGTTTTGCCTCAGTCAGAAAATCAGATTTAAAACTTAACTATTGCATTTTTATATTGTTGTTTTATTTATTTATTTTTTCAGTTGGGAGTTCCCTGAAAGAAAATTTTAGATTTGTATTTTATATGATGTTGTTTTCTTTTTTATTTATTTATCTATATTTTTAGTTGGATGGTCCAATCGAGAGCAAATCTCTTTTGCATGTTTTTCTTAGAACTATACTCTAACTTTTCGTTTACTTTTCAACACACATTTCATCTTTATTCTCATGTGAAATTGAGCGGTCTCTTAGTAAAATATACTCAAGGCAATTCTCATCTTTATCTTCTCCATCCAAACACCCTAGCATATTTCCAAACTCAGCTTTCATCATCGCTTTTGAAATATCATCTATTCAAACACATGTACGTGTTTGAAACATCATCTCTTCCAACACTCATATGTGTTTGAAACATCATATCTTCTAACACATGTACGTTTTCGAGACGTCATATCCTCCCTTCGGATGTCATTACTGTCATTAAATCATCAACGAAGCTTGAAATGAAGGAAAGACAACCAAACTCGAACGAAGTTTTCTCCACTATTGTCGTATCTTCTTCATCATGTTATTTGTACGTAACTCTCTTTATTCATGCACCTAGCTTAGAAATGTGAATTTTTGTTGTTCTGTTATGTTGAGGAAAGTTATGTTTTTGCTATTTCTATTATTTTGATTATGTTGATAAAACAGAAAATAAGTTTTTCATTTTTAGTGTTGATGTTGACAAAAGTCCATATGTACCATGAGTCACATTATGTTTCTTTGTTGATGTTGTATTAAGTAAAAATTGTATAAGGCTATTCTTATAAAGTACTTTTAGGAAGTGTTGATGTTGTGTTAAGTAAAATGTTTATGAGGTTATTCTTATAAAGTGCTCTTAGGAAATGTTGATGTTGTATTAAGTAAATTGTATCAAATGTATCATGAACCTCACATTAGGTGCCTTTGTTGATTTATGTTAAGTAAAATGATTATTATGGTTGTTGTTGTTTAAATAAAGATGAGAAATTCCTCCACCACCTCTCTTACATGCACTTCTCCTACAAATGATGGTTCTACTACTAAGACTAAAAGTATAAGATATTCTAGAGGATCCACGAGGATGGTTAAGTTGACAAATGTCTGAAACACAAGTATTAGGATGACAATCGATTTTAATTTAAAAAGTGGTAGTGTTATGGTGAACATGTCATAAATTTAGAAGATTGGAGTTATGTTGATCCTGATGTGAAAAGAATTAGTATATGGGTCGATGTTATGATATTTATTTTAATTTTCATAATTTATTTTACAAGTATATACGATAATTTTTTAAAATGTAAGATATTTTTATTATTCTAAAAGATGATAGTAAAAAACTGGAAAAGAAATAGATTTCATACACCGGTGAGTGTTGGAAGGGCTTCAAAAATATTTAAAAACAATGAGTATAAATTGACATCACCCTAAAAGATATATTTACGTACATCATAATTATAGTACGAATATGTCAAGGTAATTAGTACTTCCACACAAGATCCATAATACAACTCTTTTGAAGTAAATAAAGTTCACAATTATTTAGATCATGTTGTAATTGTATTTTGATGGAGTCTGACATATCTTTGATCATGCTTGTCAATATTTGCATTGGATTTGATTGAGGTACTTGGAACTCAATCTTGTGGTGAGGCTGAACAACTATCTTTGGAGTTTGCACCATTAAAAACAACTTTCTAAAAAATGTTTAATAGATATAAATTTGGTTGAGAGAGTATACCCATCGATTTTAATTGTTGCATCATAAAAATAACAACAACACACTATATAATTTTAAGAACACAAATAAAAACAACAAACAACACATAATCAAACTAAAAAAGAAATATATACTTACCTTAATTACATTTCAGATAAAACTCATCAGCATAATCACCTGTTCCTTTTCTAATCTTTCCACCATATTCAACCGAGATAAATGCTATTCTTTTATAGTCATGTTCATCCCATTACAAAAGATAAGAGAAAAATAATAATTACGACATGTCAAGGAGTCAATTACTAATATTCTCATCAATTATTTGTTCATTTAAAATACTAATGTAATATATATATATATATATATATATATATATATATATATATATATATATATATATATATATATATATATATATATATATATATATATATATATATATATATATATATATATATATATATATATATATATATATATATATATATATATATATATATATATATATATATATATATATATATATAATTTTTTTAATTATATAAATATCACAAATTTATTTACATTAATATATAAATATAAATAAGTGTTATTATCATGGATTAAACACTATAATTTATATTCATCTACCTCAACACAAATACTAGTTGAGATATTCCATGAATCTAGTTTACCCAATTAAGATTCATAATTATTAAATAAAACACAACATGATTATTCATCATGTGTAAAACTCAAAGGAGTGACTTAAAATACTCAAAATAAAATGAATGAAGTATATGCAAAATGCACCAATATAGCTTTAGCTAGAGGTAAAAAGAATTGAACCTATAGCTATATATGTATACTAGGTTACTTTCTTTCTCCAATTTGATTTTTGGTGCACTGAAACTCTAGGGCTGCTTCTCATTTATTACCATTTTCATATACCTCTTTGCTCCTTAGCATTATTTAGTTCCCTGTCTCCTTCACTCAATTTTGGGATGTATAAAGTTTGAATGAAGTCTTCAATTTTCAAATTCAAAAATATAAGTCCTTTTAAAAAAATGTACCTTCAATAATTATATAAGTATTTTATTTTTTAAAATCATTTTTTTTCTTTCAATAGAAAAGGATGGTTAGTACAATACTAGTACTATTTTGGATCCCTATAATTGCTAAAATAAATTACATGTAATTTACTAATTAATGACATATCTCTAGTTATTCAGTCTAGTTCAAAAAACTATATGCAATAAATGTATCATCATTGAACATAGAACACAGTTCCTCTTTAATTTGATTCAACCTCTTTCTTTGTGGCTCAACAATTAGGGTAATTTATTTATGTATAACAAGACAATTAATTTTTGACATCACCCGCATGTGTCATATGCATTCTTGAATTAATGCCATTCAATAATTCATTTCAATTAGTACTAAAAAAAATCAACACATAATTAGTGATTGAAAATTCAAATTAATTAAGTTCTTATCGTGTTCTTGAAGCTAACTATATGATAATCTTTGAAAAAGGAAGGTGATGTTATATTTTCTAGAAATAGAAAATTTTTCTCAATCAAACAACATTATCCAACGTACGATAAAATTTAAAAACCATACACATGTCTCATTTAATATCATGCATTGATGCACCTTGAATGTTGATGTCATTTAGTTAAAAATAAAAACCTTTCTGCCCAATAAATTCAAGCAACATGTAAGAAATTTGTATACCACTTTAATTAATAGGCCTTTGGAAAGGAAGATTTTGATTTAACAAAAGGATTCAAAGTCTTATGGGGTGTGCCCAGATGTTAATAAATCAACCTTAATTGGTCATCGTGATTAAAGACAGATTAATGATTGAAGATATAATCTACTTTGAAATGTGTATTATTAGATCTTGATTTAGTTATTCATGCAATAATTAATTACAATTAAGGTTGGTGATGATGGTGTCGCCAACTTATTCAAGGTTTTGGATAGACTTATGGTTTTTGGATTCCAACATTATACAATATACTCCATCTGTCTCATTCCAGATTTTTAATGATAAATAATTATATTAATTTTAATAACAAATACTAAGTTTTATCTTTTAAAATATATTTA